TTGCCTGCAGACAAGAGTCCAGGCCTTGATCGCTTTATAGGTACTTTCTGTAAACACAGTATAAAATTTCTCTACCCTATACTCAAAACTATTTTTAGTGACAGAGCTACCTCTCATTTTCTTATCCAGGACCAAGAAGCCCATATCACCCTGATCCACCTTGATATCCTCAGTCAGTTTAGGCCTCAAAGTGTCTGCATGTAAATTTGACTGTTTCGTGCCCTGTCCTACAAAAACAGCAAGGCTTTGATCCAGTTTCACCTACAGCAGCCACGTTTACCTTAAAGCTAGTATGCTTACTACTTGGATGCTCCCAGGATATAAAGGCATAGTGCTATAATTGCAGAACTGAGGTGCTCACCAGCAACTCCCAGAGGTAGAGGGTTCATGTACCATATCAGATGGCTTAAAGATGCAGAAAAGGTTCAAAGTAGATACAGTATGTAGAAGGGACCAGGGCTAGTGATTGGCTTGACACCAAGTGTGCAGTGGTCCGAGCTGGCTAGCATCCAGCAGAAGCTGAGTCCAATAAAGGATCAGGGAACATTGCAAACAGTAGCATATCCATTATCCAGCCAAGCAGGAACCAAAAGAGTTACCTATATCTTGGCAAGGGTCAAGTAACTGTAGCAATTCAAAACAAGACAAGGCACAGGTACAGGAGTCAGCAAAGTTGAACAATATCACAAGTCCGGAGCCCTGGGCTTGTGATGTTTAATAAAGTGCCACTAGTCATTTAGGAAAAAAGAAGCTAGGCAGGCAAGGCTGGCCTACTGCCTAACAATAGGCACACCTACCAATAAGGACACCACCCAAGGAGAGTGCCTCTGTCAGCCAATGGAAGTGAAGAAGACAATATCTGGCAATCGATAATTAGAGAGAGAGAGACCAAAGAAGCTATTGTAGGAGCAGGAGGAACAATGGCTGCAGGGAGACAGAGAGAATACCAGACACGCCTAACATTGCCAAATGTAACTTAGACAACAGAGAACAACCCTACATCCTATTTTAGACTCGTACCAAACATGCAAGCTTTAGCCATTTTTGTAAAGTATCTGACAACACAATTCAAATAATTTCCCTTTTTTATTATGCCTTCTATCTATTGATACCAAGAAGGTGTTTGACTGCCTTGACTGGGATTTCTTCTCCACTCTCCACCAGATTGGCATCAAATCCTCTCCTGAAAAAAGATTATGGCACTATAAAAACAGCCCCTAGACTCAAATCTGTTTGATAGGTCTATGATCAGATCTGATTGGCATCCACAATGGAACATCACAGGGATGTCCCCTCTCTCTATTGCTTTCTAGACATGGAACATCAAGTGAGAGTGTTCCAAGCTAATCCTACTATTCAAGGCATTCAGGTAAATGGCTGATACCACAAAGTAGGCCTCTTTTTGAATGACATGCTACTTTGGATCTCAAACTCCAGACTGGTCTTCCTTACTATACAATAGAATTCCAAACATTTGGGCAACTGAGCAATTTAAGTATGAACACCCACAATTCTGTAGCCTTGAACTTCTACAGGAGGCACTATGTAAGTTGAAGGAATAGTCCTCTAATTGACACTTATGGCTCGTTTGGGAAGGTTCAGTTAAAAGGGACATACTGCCATGCTTTGTATATATTTCCCAGGCTCCCCCCATCACTACCCTTAAATCTTTCTTTGCCAGACTTAAATCTTCTTTGATGCAATACCTATGAGCTCACTTCCCACTCCACAACTTCAATATGATGTATTAATTCACCACAAACAGTCATGAAGACAAACCTAACATAGAACTACATTCATAGACTAGATATTCCATTGCAAGGATAAATTGTGGGAGACTAGTTGACTCTCCAATACCTCTCCATTAACTTCTTCTCTTGGGTTCACCCCCTTTATACCCTTTTGATCTGAACACATCTCCTCTTGGGACTGGGCTCACTGCTCAAAAATCCAGAGTCTCTTCTTACAATAGTTCATGACACCAATACTGAGAAAGCCAGCTCCCCTCAAGCCTCACCTGCTGTCCTGTGTTGGTTAATTAGGGGCTTCTCCTCAATAACCAAGGCCTTGCAAGCTTGACATCTGGGGACACTTAATACCAGTGGCTCAGCAAATAAGAACCCATGTCTAGAACACTCATGTCCCATCTAAAAACTTGTCTGACTTAATTTGCTATCTATACGCTATTCTCCTAGATCAGGGGTACACAACCTGCCTCATAAAATGATCTTTACCACCAATTCACAAAAGACAAATTCCACAAAATATTTATTTTGATGCACAAATGCAGCATTGCAACTGCGGTGTAAGAAAATAAATTCAAGATTGTATTGCGTTTGTATAAATATCCTTCTGCCTTAAAGAAAATATCTCCCGCCACTTCAGATGGGTGCCGATACTGAAAAAAAGGGACCAAGTTGCATGTCTGGTGGTCTTGCTCTCTGATATCTTCCTTTTTAGTCACAAATCCTCAGTATATACATGCAGGTCACAGACCTAAAAATTCAGATGATATCAGAAATTGCATTTTTGTCACTAATTCCTGGTCCCATCTCTTCCATGAAAAAGACCTGTTGAGTGTCTTCCTCTTGGCAGCTAGAATGGTGATTCCCTACCTTCTATTAAGGAATGAATCACCCACCTACAGGATAAAGTTCTTCCCACCTACAATGCATGAAGGAACTGATGGCGTTACTACATGACAGATTTGATCAATATATCTCCACATGGAGTACCTGGATTGCTTCCATGAGCTCTGTACAATATAAGGAATGTACATCCTGTAATATAAAATACTTAGTGACTGGAAACAACTGTAGTCCTACTCATATGGACATTCATGCTCCTTGCTCCACTCAGCCTACCTTCCCTCTCCTTTAAGTCCCAATTACACCTCATCTGCCCACTTTTCCTCTCCTGTTGTCATCTTTCTTTTTTTCTAGTACTAGGGCAAGCTAAATGTCCACACAACATAACTACATATTCCCTAATCACAAAATGCTGTACCAAACTTCTCTTCTCCTTTCCTCTGACTGCCACATGGGCTTTGGAGCACTGAAACAATTGGCCTGTTGCTCATTGTTGACTATCAATTGTATCTTCGTTTATTTACAATTTCTTTTTTGTCTAATACACTTTTACTATTAAAAAGACAATCACTAAGGCCACTGTTTTGGAAGAGAACAATTAAATCTAATTTTACAACCATGGTAAGAAATAAGTTAACTAATGTTTACACTGGACTACATTAAGATACCTATAGAAACACTTATGGTTGAGTTCCCCACTGCTGCCTAGATTTAAATCGAAGTGCTTCTGGATGTGGAGAACATATAGCACATCCCCTGACCTCCCCAGAGCACTTGGTGCCTGATCAGACAAAGGCCCAAGCACAAGAAGCATGCCTAACCATGTGTACATTATGACCATAATAGGATTCAGTTCCATTAGAGCTCTAAGGACTTACACCTGCATTGCTCTTTGAAGAACGGCATACAGTGGATCACTTTTCACAGAACGGTGCTGTACAGCTGACAGCCATTAGGTGTTACTACTGCCTGCTGAATGCCTTCTTTTCTTTTCACATCCAAACTGGCTTTTTGAATAAGACTACTGTGTCACAACTGCAAGGCTAACATTTGTCATGTGGTTGCAGGACAGCCCCATTTACTCAACCACATATTTTTACTGCCCTCAAGCTCAAGTGTAAACTAAACCAAAGGGTCATTTTGGGCAAGAGAGTGTCTGGAAGGGTAGTTAGGGGGGTAGTTGTTTTTTTTGCACCCAGTTGTACTTTAAAGGGGCTGTATTGTCTATGTTTTTACTGTGTTGTATTTTCATGTCCTGGCTGTTCTTTTCTTATACGTCATTAAGTGATTCTAATTTCATCTTCTGCCATTGATCTGATCACACCCAGCTGAATGATCAAAGGAGAGACACACCTCTCACCATCTTTTCTTCATACAGCGGAGTGGAATATACTCATCCAACAGTGTTAAGGAAACTTCCTGTGTTTAAAGCCTTTTTTTGAAATGAATATTTAAGTAATCCTATACAAGTATAGAAAATAGTGACATAAGGGCCAGTTCACACCACGCCCACATCTGAATCGCAAAGAAATTGCATTCTTGTGCAACTCACATGCGGTTCTGTGTGATGTGATTTTAGCCCATTCATTTTGAATGGGCTGAAATTACACCACACCAAAAAGTAGAGTATGTACTACTTTTTAAAAGTAACCAATTCTTTTTTGTACCAATTCTTTTTTGTAACCAATTCGCATGGTACAAAAGTACCATGCGATCCAGTGCCGGCAAACGCACTACGTTTGTGACCTGTATTTTTGGGGTGTCGTTAAATTTGTATTGACACCCACAGATGTAGTGTGTTTTGCATATGGTTTGCAATTCAGATGCGTGAACTAGCCCTTAAAGCTCAGTTTATAAAATTATACATAATTTAAATACATTTAGCAAAATCATTTTTTCTGATCTAACCGATCTAGTCAATCACAGTCCACTGGCAGTCCTAACAGATGTAACACTCAATACTTGCTAACATTATCTAGTTATTAATGTGTATGTATTGCCAAAAAGTGTGTGTATATTCTGGATGGTGTAGGGAAGGATTAGGCTCTCAATTGTTTTTAAATATGTAGATATATTTTTGCATTTTCCAACTGTAACTAGAACAGGAGGTGTGGGGAATCCTTTTCAGATGACAACTGACTAACAGGGGAATTCTGCTAAATTTATAGATATTTCTTCTTATTTCATGCAGCATACTTGGGTTAGGAAAGTAAGGAAAATCTCCCCAATGGGAGGAAATAGACAGCAAAAAATAAACTGATTGGAATTTATCCCTTCTTTACAATATTCAAAACTGAAACATTTGGGCTATACATACACTTTAAAGCACTGTATAGACTAAACATTTGCAGAAGTTTAGAACAGAACTTAGATGCATCGTCTCAGATAACATTCTACAAAATGGTTGTCAATTTACCAGCAATGGTATAAATATTTTAAGTTAGAAAAATTAAGTTTATGAGCACTTACTATAACATTGCATAGCAGTAGAAAAAGAGATATTTCCTGAACAAGTCTTCTTTTCAAATTCCATGGGTGATTTTCTGCATTGTGCATTGTATTCTCAGTATTGTTTGTTACAGGTAATGTGGATTCCTGAGATACTCCATCAGGCAGTGTAGGAGCTACCGCCTCATTTGAGTAAATAAGTTCTTTTGGTAGTTCCTCAGCCTCATCCAGGAATGGCTCTCGATGAAGTCCTTCAATAATAAAGGTATTCTGTAGTGTAAGTTGTACAATCATAAGGAGGGAGTAAACAAGATTCAAAACATTGAGCAGCTCCCCTGGAGAGGTGGCCACCATCGCTACAATGGAATAGTAAGATATACAATACTGGCCCAATGCTGCACCAAGGAGCAAAGCAACATCTAAAGTACGTGTTGGATTCTTATGGGCATCTATATGTCTTTTGTCAAATCTGTATATAACTGACCCAGCGAGTGAGCCCATGGACATAAAGCTGAGGACCACAATATTAAATGAATAGAACATAATATGGGCCTTGTAGCTTTTATCTGCTAGATTTACTTTAACCTTGTATGTAACAAGAGCCACAATTCCACCAAGAAGGACTATGCATCCCATGATAAGGCCAACAAAAATACTGTGAAAGCAGAAGCAAGGGCTAAGGCGACGGTGGCAAGGCATGGTGTCATCCATCTGACGTCCTACGTTCTTCCACATAACATATGTCATTGCTGAAGCAAACAGGCTGTACTCTATGTTGAATGGATAAAGGTAGTAATATCCTGTCTGAAAGATGTGGCACAAATGATTACTGCAGCGGCAGGTATGGCCATGTGCTCCTCCAGAATCTACAAAAGAATTGCAAGTCAATATAATGGTGAAAACAGTTTCTGCAATTAGTTTCCCCATTATAGTTGCTTCATACCTTTGTGTTCATGGTATCCATTTGTGCTGGACAACACCTTTAAGTCATCCTCCAAATCTCGAGTCTGGTGAACAGACTCATCTGTTACTGCAGCCATCCAGATACTGAGGTTAGTTATAAGGACCAACATGAGACCATATCTGTAGTAAAGCATTTTTAACATAACATATTAGTTCCTCTAGCGTCTTAATCAACATCATCATATCTTGTATCACTTCTATCATCAAATTTAATCCACAATGCCTATTCGGAGACAAGGGTAGAAAGGTGAACACACCAGTGAAGGCTTTCCTCCTTATAAATAGTCATGGGGTTGATTCACTAAAGGCAAATAGACATTGCACTTTGAAAGTGCAGGTTCACTCATTTTTCCCAAGAGCTAAGTGAATGTAATAAAACTTCACTTTGAAAAGAATATCCGATCAGGTGCAAAGAAAATAAACAGAATTTTTGCTTGCATGTGATTGGATGATGGAAATCAACAGAGCTTCACCGCATTTACCAAGCTCTGGGGAAAATAAATACACTTGCACAGTGCTCAGTCTATTTGTCATTAGTAAATCAACTCCATGGATTCAAATTCATTATAAAGATGTAAAGTGTTACTAAACCCACAACAGTAAAATCAGTCTGTATATGCAGTAAAACATGCTTGATATACTCACTGTGCAACCTAAGGGGGTAATCCTCCACATTGTGTAAAAAGGATGCTTGAGCCTGTCTTTTCTGATCCTCCCCTTCTTCCACAGTGCCAATCCATCTGCTGATAGCACAGAGCATTGGGGGCAAGCAGCACATGCTCAGTTTGGTGTGTATTGTTAGAGATATTTTTTTACTTGGGAGAGTGCATGTGTTCAGCACAGGGCCAATCAGCACTGTCCAGAGAGAGGGTCAGGGGTCCTGCAGCCTCATAGGACAGTTAGAGGAGAATGAAAATTCCTCCTACAAGCTGTAACCAGTGCTCTGCTGCACATTGATAGAAGTCAAAAGACTGCTCTAACTGCTGATGAGAAAAGGTATTTAGCAGTTTATATTTACTAAAATAATTGCATTTCCATGTTCTGTGTACTGTGGGAGACCAGATATAGTGAATGCAGGGTCCTGGGTTTAGTAACACTCTTTTTTTATCAAAAGTCAGTGACAAAATTATCAGCTTGATCACCCTTCATGTTAGAACACAGCAGACCAAACTGAATGCAAAAGTAGCTCATAATGATCTGCAAAACCTCCTAATGGAATCACATCCTAAACAGCATTAAACCAAAGACTTTTAGCGCCATTGTAAAATTACCATGTCTTAAAACAGGCCTTACTGCATATTGTTAAAAACAGTTAATGGAATACACATTTGAGTCTAGTGTTCATTTTAATTACCAAAACCACATCTTTTCATATTCTGTAAATCCTGGTATGATAAAATTACATTCATAGCAAGCATTCACCAAAATGAATAAGAAAATAACAATAAGTTTGATATCACACATACCATATTGTACAGCAGGCAGGTTGGGCATATTGCATCTCTCAAGGAGAGTGATCATAAGAACAATATCAAATCGACTGCTATCAAATCAGGATTTCATGCTATGTAATTATACATTGGTTGTTGGATTGTGAAGCAAGGTAATTTGGAAATATCAATGCATTTAGAAAACTGTGGAAGGATCCACTTGAAAAAAATAAATGTTTCACAGCACTCCTACCTTCCACCCCTCAGCTCTGTTGATTGGGTGAGGACTGGTTCAATAGCACCCTCTAGAGAAGGGGTATTGAATTAAAATTTATGGGGGTCCAGTCAGTAAAATGTTTTTCCAGTAGAGGTTTGAATCTTATGTGTGTGCAATGATTCAGATACGTCACATCACAGTCCCCCTTTACATCACAGTTCTCCACTTTACATCAGTGTCCTCAGTCCCCCTTCACATCACAGTACCTTCTTTATATCACAGACCCCAATCACATCTCAGCTCCCCTTTTACATCAGTGCTCTCCGTCCCCTTTACACACCACAGTCTCCTTCATGTCACAGTCCCTTTCCCCTTCAAATCAAAGCTCCCCCTTTACATCACAGCTCCCCTTAACATCTGTGTCCTCAGTGCCCCCTTCACATCACAATTCCACCTTTACAGCAGTGTCCACAGTCCCCTCTACACATCACAGTTCCCCCACCTTTTACAGCACAGTCTCCTTCATGTCGCAGTCCCTTTCCTATTCACATCAAAGTTCCCCCCCTTTACATCACAGCTCCCCTTAACATCTGTGTCCTCAGTGCCCCCTTCACATTACAATTCCACCTTTACAGCAGTGTGCTCAGTCCCCACTTCACATTACAGTTCTCCTTTACAACACTGCTTCTCCCCCCCCCTTTATGTCAGTGTCTTCAGCCCCCCACCCCCATCACACTACAATCCCCTTTTACATCAGTGTCCTCAGTCCTCCCTTCACATCACAGTCTCTTCACCTCCTTTACATCACAGACCCCCTTCACATCAGTGTTCTCCCCCTTTACATACAACCCTCTTCTCATCACAGTCCCCCCATCCCCTCCCTTACATCACATTCTCCCCCTCACATATCACATTGCCCCTTCACATCACAGCCTTCCCTCTACATCGGTGTCCTAACTTACACAGCAGAGCAGAGCAGAGGGTGGGAGGTGCAGCATGTCTGGATGGAGGGCAGAAGCTTATGAACTTTTTATATTACCAAGCAGATGAATGACAACCCCATGGTCTGATCTTAGTGGTGTGGCTGCAGTCCAGATAGGACTGTCACTTGGTTTGGGTCCAAACCATGGTCTACTATTTAGTGACCCTACTCTAGGGGGTCCACAAAAAGCTGCTGCAATTGGCAGCTGTGACCTCTGATTTTTTCTAAATTGATAAGCGTGATTCATGATAACCAATGACGTTTTTACATCAAACTGGACACCAGGCAACCTTTTTCACATTTCCACATTTAATCCTCTTTATTTTGCTGTTGCTTATTGGCTATTTTTTATATTTTTTTGCTGTAATTTTTTTCTTACACAGTTTTTTCCTTTTCTTTCATTATAACATTATTTAAACATTGTTAGGCTGAATCTCTTGTTGCTTTGAAAAGTGCTACCATATTTTAAATTGTTACCTTCCTGTCTGTATGGCAGTGAGTGCCACAGACATTTCCTGAAATAATTCTTACAGCAGATATGACAAATTGTGCAAGCTTCCATTAAAACATGCAGTGGCAGCTACAATTGTTGTGTGAAGGGATAAATATGCAGTCAAATGATCCCAGTGATGATCATGCCCAGTCTCCCTGCACTTTGGCTGTTGTCTCATGAGCTATATAAACTGTGCAGGATGAGGCTGACACAGTGCCATTGCCACAGAAAGAATAATAATTCAAAGAACAACAATTTCTTTTTATGAGAGGGTGAGCAAAACCTTGGACAGAGGGATGGCGGTGGATGTGGTATACTTGGATTTTGCAAAAGCGTTTGACACAGTTCCCCCACACACGGCTAATGTGTAAGGTAAAGTCTACAGGCTTGGAAACATTTGTATGTAAATGGAGGGAAAACTGGCTAAAAGATCGTATTCAAAGAGTAGTGGTTAATGATTCATACTCTGAATGGTCTAGGGTCGTCAGTGGTGTACCCCGGGGTTCAGTGTTTGGACCCTTACTTTTTAATATATTTATAAATGATATAGGGTCTGGGATTAAAAATCCTAATTCAGTCTTTTCAGATGACATCAAGCTGTGCAGTGGAATAATGTCTTTAAAGGATGTCTTCAATTTACAAGCCGACCTCAATGCACTGTTTAATTGGGCAACTGTGGCAAATGAGGTTTAAATGTAAGGTTATGCACTTGGGGGCTACGAATATGCATGCATCATACATACTAGGGGGGAGAACAACTGGGGGAATCAATGGTGGAGAAGGATCTGGGAGTTCTGGTAGATCACAAGCTGAATAATGGCATGCAATGCCAAGCTGCGTTTTCTAAAGCGAGCAAAATCCTCTCTTGTATTAAAAGAGGTATAGACTCCAGAGAGAGAGATATCATATTACCCCGGTACAAATCATTAGTAAGACCTCATCTGGAATATGCAGTTCAGTTTTGGGCACCAATTCACAAAAACAACATTGGGGAACTGGAGAAAGTACAGAGAAGGGCAACCAAACTAATAAGAGGCATGGAGGAGCTCAGCTATGAGGAAAGATTAGAGGAATTGAATTTATTCTCTCTTAAGAAGAGGAGATTAAGGGGGTCATGATCAACATGTATAAATACATCAGTGGTTCATATAGTGAACTCGGTGTAGAGTTATACACTCTGAGGTCATCACAGCGGACAAGGGGGCACTCTATACGTCTGGAGGAAAAGAAATTTAATCTCCAAACACGGAAAGGTTTCTTCACAGTGAGAGCTGTGATAATGTGGAACAGACTCCATCAAGAGTTGGTTCTGGCCAGCTCAGTGAATTGCTTCAAAAAAGGCCTGGATTCCTTCTTGGATACACAGAATATAACTGGATACTAACATTTATAGGTAAAGTTGATTCAGGGAATATCCGATTGCCTCTCGGGGGATCAGGAAGGATTTTTTTCCCAGCAGGTGAAAATTGGATCATGCTTTGCTGCGTTTTTTTTGCCTTCCTCTGGATCAACTGTGGGCATAGGATTATAACATTTTTATTTTTTTTAATGGTTGAACTGGATGGACTTTTGTCTTTTTTAAGCAGACTAACTATGTAACTATGTATGTAAACCCTAAAAATACATTTCTGTACTTAGCTGCCACTCCAATGCTATATCAATTATTATTTTGCAGTCTAAGATAGGAACTAGGAAGGCTCCCTATGATAACACAAGAAGAGGGCACAGGACAACTTTAAACTTCTGACGTGATCAACGGGTAATTTTTTATGCTTTTATCAAAGCAGATTTAACAACATGCATGCAATGGTATATATAACAGACCAAAGGAGCAAATACACTAAGTTTGCCTAGAATTCTTCAATTGGAAGCTTCACCTGGATACACCCAACTACTGTACATGACCTAGTTCTAATAATTCGACGCTTTACAAAATGATGGCAGACAGTACAGTTACAACATGATTCAACACAAGGAATCAGAGGGCCCTGCTCATTCTACTTTAACTGATATAACAGCAGTGGCAGGAGTATCAAAACTGAATGTACACTGCTCAAAAAAAATAAAAAAAAAAAAATTAAAGGAATGCTTTTTAATCAAAGTACAGCACCAAGTAAATTAAACCACTGGGATATTGATCTGGTCAGTTAAGTAGCAGAGGGGGTTGTTAATCAGTTTCAGCTGGTTTGGTGTTAATGAAATTAACAACAGGTGCACTAGATGGGCAACAATGAGACAACCCCAAAACAGAAAAGGGTTTTACAGGTGGAGGCCAATAACATTTTTTCCCTACTCATCGTTTTTGACTGTTTTTGACTAGTTTTGCATTTGGCTAGGGTCAGTGTCACTACTGGTAGCATGAGGCAGTCCAACTTCTCCCAGCACAGTCTCAAGAGCATGGAGCAGATTCCAGGAGACAGGCAGTTACTTTAGGAGAGCTGGACAGGGCTGTAGAAGGTCCTTAACCCATCAGCAGGACTGGTATCTGCTCCTTTGTCAAGGAGGAACAGGATGAACACTGCCAGAACCCTACAAAATGACTTCCACCAGGCTACTAGTGTGAATGTCTCTGACCAAACAATCAGAAACAGGCTTCATGAGGGTGGCCTGAGGGCCCGACGTCTCCTAGTGGGCCCTGTGCTCACTGCTCGGCACCATAGAGCTCGATTGGCATTTGCCACCGAACACCAGAATTGTCAGGTCCACCACTGGCGCTCTGTGCTTTTCACAGAAGAGAGCAGGTTCACCCTGAACACGTGACATATGTGAAAGGGTATGGAGAAGCCGTGGAGAATGTTATGCTGCCTGTAACATTGTTCAGCATGGCCATTTTAGTGGTGGGTCAGTGATGTCTGGGGAGGCATATCCATGGGGGGATGCACAGACCTCTACAGGCTAGACAATGGCTCCCTGACTGCCATTGGGTATCGGGATGAAATCTTTGGACCCATTGTCAGACCCTACGCTGGTGCAGTGGGTCCTGGGTTCCTCCTGGTGCACGACAATGCCCGGCCTCATGTGGTGAGAGTATGCAGGCAGTTCCTGGAGGATGAAGTAATTGATGAGATTAAATGGCATCCACGCTTGCCTGACCTCAGTCCAATAGAACACCTCTGGGATATCATGTTTTGGTCCATCTGAAGCCACCAGGTTGCAGCTCAGACTGTTCAGGAGCTCAGTGATGCCCTGGTCCAGATCTGGAAATACCCCAGGACACCATCTGTCATCTCATTAGCAGCATGCCCCAATGTTGTCGGGCATGCATACAAGCACATGGGGGCCATACAAACTACTGAGTACTATTTTGAGTTGCTGCAATGAAATTTCAGCAAAATAAACTAGCCTGCTGCATCATTTTATCACTTTGATTTTCGGGGTCTCTTTGAATTCAGTCCTCTGTAGGTTGATAATTTTCATTTCCATCAAATGATGGGGCATCCTTATGTTCCTAACACATTACCCAGTCCACATCAGTATAGATATCCAGCATGATATTTTTCCCCATTGAGATCTGATGTGTTTTCAAATTGTTCCTTTAATTTTTTTGAGCAGTGTATTATGGATATCTCATCAGATGATAGCTTTACCTGGAAATATTGGTGTGAATCTGAACACAGTGTTTGCTGGACACCCAGAGGAAATATGTCTGAAAGATAAAATAGAATGTATATTATTACGTGAAGGATTTTTGGAGATAGTGAAAAAATTGTTTGAACGAGAAGAAAAAAACATAGATAATGCAAGACAAGGTGAAGTATGGCTTCTTAAGATTTTTACCTGGAGGATGATGAATGCGCTCTGCACCATGGGGTGAATTAGTTTAATTGGTGATTCGCAATCAATGTAGCTTATGTAATATCCAATCTTAAATACATCTAAAACTAGACTGCAGATCCCAAAAAACACCAGGCCACCTGTGAAAAGAGGGGAGAATCAATGACTCCTATGCTGTTACACAGTTAATATTTATGTTAATGTACATGAGAGTTCATATAGTTTATTCTTTGTACCATTTCCTATGGACATTTCTATAATTAGTAATGCTGCCATCCAGTGGTCTTATTTGGTAATGCATTTGTTTTTCATGTTGCCTCCCTGAGATCTATGACACAATTCCTTTGTATATGAAGCTCCTCCCTTCTTCTTGAGTTCAGCACTTCCTGTGTCATGGAGGCAGCTAACAGACCACATGTAACAGGGACACATGTATTCTGCATAGTACGCTACAGAAAGTATCATCTTTTGACCGCATAATACTGGAAACCATTCATTCTGCTGTATCCTGTTGTCACATGTACAGAATAAAGCAACTTCTGGATGAACACAGTATTGGTGAGTTCAAGCTATCTGATAAGGATTGTCCACAGTGATTATATCTGCTTATACAGGCTAGGCAGAGAGGTCTCACAAGGGATAAATCGCTATCACAACAATCTGAGTCAGAATAACTCCAGTGGAATTTGTTTAATGTCAAAGACCTCATTACATTTTAGTTAATCAAAGGGTAGAATGGGACACTTTTAAGCAGATGCCCTTAGTACATTGAACACAAATGCTCATTAAAATGTATGTATAACCAAAACATACAAGTCTGCACGAATATACAATATTTCAGTCATTTTACAATATACAGCAACAGTATAGTTTTTCAGAAATGCTATGCCTTATTTTATTGCTGATCACCTGGTCGTGGTGTCTGCAGGGAAAAAAAAATGTGCTCATTCACCAATCCTGGCGAATCACATGGTTTACTTTGTTTCTTAGAACTTTATTGGCATGACACAATTGACATTTCATTAAGTTCATAAAGAACAAAGTAAAAAAACAAAGCAGTGTTGCGAAAGAACAAAGTAAAAAACAAAGCAGTGTTGCGATGTGGTAGTTTGCATCGCAATCAGCTGCACTGAAAACTTTGTAGGAAGTCACAAGCTGACAGGTTGTAGCAGGGGGCTGATCTTTGTCAGACACAGGTTCCAGGATTTACACAGCTCTATCAGTTGTAAACCAGCATCTCATCCAGGAAGTTGAGTTGGAGGCCTCGGCGGCGTGACGTCAATGCGGCAAGGCTCCTCCCTGACGTGTTTTGTGCGAAAGCACGTTATCAAAGGGATACTGTGCTTTATTTTTTTGCTAATGTGCTTTCGCACGAAACACGTCAGGGAGGAGCCTTGTAGCATTGACAACACGCCGCCAAGGCCACATGGAAGGTCGGCAGCCATCTTTGAGCCTGTAAGCATTCATCTTTCATTATTCATGACCGGGGCTCTCAGTGACACTCGGGTCTTTCTGCTTGGAGAGCGCTGTGTGGGGCGCTCCCAGCACAAAGACAGGTATGTTATGTTATTGTTGTTTGCACCTGTACTACAGCCCAGAAATGATAGTGCACAATTTGTTTTTTCTACCTAAAACACACTGACACTAACTGACACTGATAGCAATTAAAAAATAAATAAATCCTGACCTTTGACTTTGACCTTGACTTTTGACCCTGACCTTGACGCAAACTAACCCTGGCACTGAACTAGATCAAACCTATGTCTAGGATTTTTTTCTTTATTGTTTAATATTTATTTATCTTTTTTTTTAACAAACAGTTGTTTTTCTTTTTTTTTTTTTTTCTCTATGCAAGGAGAGAGAGGAGAGATACAATGTATCTCTGTCCTCCATTCAGAGAGAGAGAAAAAACAAGGGGGGCGGGCTGTACAGTGATTGATCACTGTGGTAGCCAATCAGAGGCTATCACAGTGATCATGTGACCCAGAATCGGAATTCTCAGGTCCCGATCATTAGAACGGGACCCGGGGATCTCAGTGACACAGCGGTCTTTGTGCTGGGAGCACTTTGTGTAGTGCACTCCTAGCACAAAGACAAGCATGGAAATATGCGACCCCACAAAAAAAAGCCCAGTTCTGTGAGGCCGCATATTTGTGTGACGTCAGCGTCAAGGGATTAATGTATACATTGCTTGAAAATGGGAAAGATGAAAAGGATTTCTCATGTAGGTTTTTGGTGTATAAGAATATCCACTGAAAGATAACTCCACTCCTGTAAATAGTACCTTCTAGCAAAAGACAATTGCATTCATTAAGCCAAAGCCAACTCTGGCCAGGATTTGTATTTTCCCAGAATTAACCACTCATTTTCATATGTGGAAGCTCTCAAGATTTCAGACAAAAACTCCAGCTAATCCAAAACATTACTGGATCTCTGGCAGTTCCATGTAGTAAAGGGAAGGACTTGGTGGGGTAGTGATGTCATCATCACAACTCCAATCATGTAGTGGCCGGGAGGGCAGGAAAGGGCTGTAGAGGAAGAGATAGCTGGGAGGGGGTGCAGGCTATATAGAAACTACAGCATGCTGTTGGACTGTACGTCTGAAGTAAAGGTAAGGAGCAGGGAGGGACTGACCATTTGGAAACTTGGGCACTGCCCGAGGGCCCGGGGTCAGTAAGGGGCCCCATGAGATGCCCCTGGTACCTTTTTCATAGGCTTTTTGAGTTTGGGCAAGGACACAGGCCCCATGATCCCCTATTGCCGGGGACCCCATGAGTTGTCAGTCCGCCCCTGATAGGGAGAGTGGGAGGGATTCAGACTGGATTTCAGTTATTGTCACTGTTATTTGCCTGCATATTTTAAAATATAAATATATAAAAGTCCATTTGTTGCTCACATATTGTAGCAATTGCCCACTTATTGCCTGCACATTGACATAACTAAATATTTGTTACCCAAGTAGAACCACAGCTTAACGCAAAAGACGGAATAGTTATATACACTGGCACTGTCAATGTACCACATAGAAGAAAAACAATATACAAATAAAGCCAGGTTATATTACATGTTTATAAACACCAGAATATCATTAAAAATCACATATATAAAGAAGTTCCAGATTGATAGAATCATCAATTAGCTCATCAGATCAACGCATTTATTAAAAGAATCGCTTCCTCAAGATCTTTGTGTTAGATATACAAAATCCTATCTGGCATAAGAGTACAGTAAGTCCCCTACTTACAAACGAGTTCTGTTCTGGGAGCTCGTTTGTAAGTCCAACTTGTTTGTAAGTCCAACAAAGATCAGTTTTTGTAGACAATGGCTGCAAACGCTGATCAGTTTTTTCTTGCGGGGGGAATCCCGGTCAGAAAACAAAAAGGTACAGTGCTGCACCAACAATGGCCAACCCAGTGTGTGACAGGTGAACACATGTTCACATCTTTGGAAGTTTGCACGTTGAACGTTGTATGTAGGGGACTAACTGTATCATCAAAGAGGTCACAATCCTCCAAAATACTATATACCCCAAAAGTAAGATAATGAAGTTCAAATACAGTTGCAAGAAAAAGTATGTGAACCCCTTGGGATTATGTGGAGTTTTGCATGAATTGGGCATAAAATGTGCTCTGAACGTCATCTAAGTCACAACAATAGAAGAACACAGTCTGCTGAACATAATACTACACAAACATTAGATGCTGCCATGGTTTAATTGCACATAACATGTAAACATTCACAGTGCAGGGAGGAAAAAGTATGTGAACCTTTGGACTTAATAACTGGTTGACCCTCCTTTGGCAGCAATAACCTCAACCAAACGTTTCCTGTAGTTGCAGATCAGACCTGCACAACGATCTGGAGTCATTTTGGACCACTCCTCTTCACAAAACTGTTTCAGTGTAGCAATATTCTTGGGATGTCTGGTGTGAATCGCTCTCTTAAGGTCATGCCACAGCATTTCAATGGGGTTGAGGTCAGGACTCTGACTGGGCCACTCCAGAAGGCGTATTCTGTGCTGTTGCAGCCATTGTTTTGTTGAATGACTTGTATGCTTTGGGTCATTGTCCTGTTGCATCACCCATCCTCTGCGGAGCTTCAGTTGGCGGACAGATGGTCGTAACGTTTTCCTGCAAAATGTCTTGATAAACTCTGGAATTCATTTTCCCATCAATGACAACAATCCGTCCAGGCCCTGAGGCAGCAAAGCAGCCCCAAACCATGATGCTCCCTCCGCCATGTTTCACAGTGGGGATGAGGTTTTGATGTTGGTGTGCTGTGCCTTTTTTTCTCCACACATAGTGTTGTGTGTTCTTCCCAAGCAACTCAATCTTGGTTTCATCTGTCCACAGTATATTTTGCCAGTAGTGCTGTGGAACATCCAGGTGCTCTTTTGCAAACTTCAAACGTGCTGCAATCTTCTTTTTGGACAGCAATGGCTTCCTCCGTGGTGTCCTCCCATGTACTCCATTCTTGTTTAATGTTTTCCTTATTGTAGATGTGTCAACAAAAATGTTAGCATGTGCCAGAGATTTCTGTAGGTCTTTAGCTGACACTCTGGGATTCTTCTTTACCTCATGCAGCATTCTGCGCTGTGCTCTTGCAGTCATTTTTACAGGACGACCACGCCTAGGGAGAGTAGCAACAATGCTAAACTTTCTCCATTTGTAGACAGTCTGTCTTACCGTGGACACATGAACATCAAGGCTTTTGGAGATACTTTTGTAACCCTTTCCAGCTTCATGCAAGTCAACAATTCTTGATCGTAGGTCTTCTGAGAGCTCTTTTCTGCGAGGCATGGTTCACATCAGACAGTGCTTCTTTGAAACCAGTAAACCCAAAACAGGTGTGTGTTTTTTAAGGGCAGGACAGCTGTCAGCAACACATCCAATATCATCACACTGATTGGAGTCAAGGTTGGCTCACCTCCTGGCTCCAATTAGCTCTGGGAGAAGTCATTAAGCTAGGGCCTCACATACTTTTTCCTCCCTGCACTGTGAATGTTTTACATGTTATGTGCAATTAAACCATGGCAACATCTAATGTTTGTGTAGTATTATGTTCAGCAGACTGTGTTCTTCTATTGTTGTGACTTAGATGACGTTTCAGAGCACATTTTATGCCCAATTCATGCAAAACT